ACATGATACGATATTATCTTTTTATTTAACGTTATATATATTTTTAATTAAAACTTATTTACTCGCTTCATGTTATGTCCGATCGTCGTAATCTGACGGATAATGCCGTTATTGGACGCTACGCACCAATAACTATATATTAAAATGCTAACACAGTAAATTTTACAAAAAGTTAATGTCAAACTCAGATAAAAACTTAATAGTATTTAAATTGCAATTTGTAATGTTATATAAAATTTTGTTGGCTTGGATACTTTCGTTATACTTTCAGTTGACTTATTCATGACATATCGATATGTTGTTGATTAGTATCTTGCGAAATATAAGCATTTATTTGATTCTTTTTCTTAATCATATAAAAAATAATTATTGCAATAATTATTGCGGCTGTTGATAATAATATAATCCATGTAATTTCGCAATTACTTAAATAATAGTATTTGGTGCAGGTTGAAATGTTTTGACAGGTATATCACTTGCAAAATTTCCAATGAATAAGAACGTTATTCGTCAAAATTTTTGACAAATAACTATATATTATCTTTTTAATTTGATAGTATAATTATAAACATCAAGTACAATAATCTCATTTAGTTATGTTGAATTATCCGCTAAGCCAAAGGAATACCTTGAACGAATCCAAATACATTATTAGGATCATATTTTTTTTTTACAGCAATTAATGCAGGCAAATTACTGCCGTAATATCTATGCTGCCAATCTGTTAAATCTCGATCAATATAATTCTGATAACTACTATAATCAGTATAATTCAACTGAAAAATTTCACCAAACCTATTTAACTGATTTAAACATTGTGTGTTTGTCGTATTATCACCATTCAGAGTTGTATATAATTGAATCGAATGAAATACGTTCCTATGCACGAACGCAGTAGCATTTTCTGCGATTCTAGTTGCCGCACCACCAGCGTATAAATCAAATATTGCAAATGTTGGACATGCGGTGGGAAGACCTTTCATAAAATTCACAAGCAATTGAACACCCTCTGCTGAAAGTCCAGAAGATTTTACATAGAAAGATTTTGCTTTAAATTTTTTGGGACTATGATATGGATTTATTGTGCCACTTTCTTGTTTAAGTCCCCGTCTTACAACGCTATCGAAAAAACTTTTCTCTGTAAATTGATTCGAAGTTGGTTGTGAAAGTGAAATAAATTGGCTCATAGCTTGCGTTGCACCCGATTGTGATCCTAGATAAACTCCTTCAAATTCTACAGAACTGTTATCTATAACTATCGAGAATGAGATATCATCAGGAAGCGTCGGACCAAGTTGTTTAGTTGCATCATAAAGAGTTTGAATCTTGTTAAGATCATATTTTAATGATATATATGTGACTTTAGGAAGAGCAGGATAAATTCGAAATGTAAACGAAGTAACTACTCCATAGTTATTAGACCCAGCTCCACGGAGGGCAAAAAATAAATCCGTATACTTATCGGCAGTTAC